GCAGTACACGAACGGACTTGAAACCACCTTTGTGACAGCTGGAAACTACAGGCTCTGCTCCATCGGGACTACAACAGAATGAATCCGTTGCTAACAGAAGTGACGTGGCAGGCACTGGCAATCAGGTGTAATGTAGAAGATACCCTGCTACGTTGAAGCCTGATGTCCGACCGTTGCGTAATGGCGAGGCTCAAGTGAAGGTCCAAATAACGTGACGTCATAATAGTTGATTTTCATTAGCCTGTCGAACTGCGACCAGGGCAGCAAACGAGGAACTTCAAACCACGCCGAGTTGTTTACTGCAACAGTGTCAAACCAATCTTATCCTAGTCGCTCTGAAAGGTTTTAAGGCGAAGGTGGGATCACATGAATAGCTGCGTAGACGTCTGGGATCGCATGGTCTCGACGAGATGAGCGATTGCGATGAACGGGTAGTAGAATTATGTAAAATGTGCGGTCTACTTGTCGGTGGCACATGGTTTCCTCACAATCGGTGCGTAAGGTCCTATGGCACTCGTACGATGAGTGAACGGAAACGAGGTTATGTTTTCAGCAGCGTGAGTTCGCTATGCTCTGACGGTTGATCAGCGATGAAAAATCTTGCCCTACGTCTGGAACAGAAGACAACTTCTAACGTCCAAACGCATCTCAAGCCTTACAGGTTACGGTTGATGGAAGATTCAGGCCACTTATTGATCCCGCAGGCGGTGTCGGTGGAAAAGCTTGGAACACGTACGAAGAGGCGTCAGTAAGAACGGCAGAGTGGCAGTTGAGACGGAAGAAACGATCAGGGAATCCATGGATAGCTTATAAACTAGACGGCTGTAGGAAATGAGCAGGCTTGCTAAGGCTGTTGACAGACAGAGTCTCAGAAGAAAAGAGAAGAGAAGCATACAAAAAATGGAAAATCGTTAAAGAAGAATAAAGCACTTTTCTGGAATATTCTGCTCCATTGAAGAAAACATTATGAACTCCATGTTCAGCAAAGTTCATTGCTACTTCGACCAACAAAGGCGTTAAGAACGAAAACGGTAATTACAATGATCGTTACCAGCCTACAGACGCAAAGTTTGAATTTGTGATAAACATCTATGATCAGGGATCCGTTGATGAACATCTAGTAGTCTAAAAGAGTCTCATTTATTCATGTTACGTTTCTTCCCAGATTTCGATGCCAACCCAAATGGTCTAATTTCAGCCCTGATGGACGTCGTTGACATTTTAGTCCAATTATCTTGAAGTCTACCAGCCGACACATTTCTGTGCATATTTTGTACTCGATTTCTTAAATGGCCGACTCGTCACCGCCTCCTCGTTCTGTTGTTCGATTCCTTTTGAGGAAATGTCAGTCAGCGAGGTTTGCTAATGGTTCCTCTTTCATCTCACCGCATATTGTTCAAAGTGATGTACGCCTTCGGCGAAGCATAATGTGAATAATGCTACCCATTTGTTACTTCTTCGGTCGGCAAGCTTTCACGTCTACCGTGTCGATGCCTGACCACTAGAAATCACGTGATTCATTTGGCCGGCCACTCGGGCGACGGACACAACGGCATCGACGAGATTGAATGACATTTTTCATGCACGGCTCTATCGATCATTCAGCAGTTCACTTGTCAGCTTCTCTCAGTTTCAGGTGCTCCGTCGTTGTAACGCCCCCTTTACCCTTGCATCGTAGGTAGGCAGGCCAGTCCACATTGGGATGTCCTTGTGTAGTGACTAGTTGCCATCCGGTGCTTAGAGAGTAGACAGTACAATGAACAAGTTTCCTTATTACTGTAATGGCGATCAGCGCGGCTCTAAGGCTGACGACGCTCGAAAGCCGATTCACCCAGTCGCAGATGGGGAATTGACCATTAAGAGTGCCGTCTCAAGTCCGTATTTGGCGACGATCACTGCTGCACTCAAATTCATATTTCTTATCGTGGAGCCCGGAGGTAAAGCCTCTCCGCCGAGAGGTTGCCGAGGCAAGCCCTCAACAATTTCCTCACTCTTCTTGCTTCTAAAGTTGACGAATGAGTACGTTAGAACCGTGGTTAGAGGACGGGGAACCACACATTATGGTTGCCACACAACTGCTGTCACCTCTGCCTCTAAAATCAGGCGCTCCTTTTTATGACTCAGAAAAGATGATCCTTGAAAAAACGCGCCAGAACTGCCCCATCATGAACCTGTAAGCAAGGTCGACAGTCCAGCGGTTACGTTACAAACACGCTTTGTCTCTCTTGCCTCTGTAACTCGTCGTAAGCAGATTTCCCTGAAGCGTTTCCGGGGTTTGCACTGTCCTCCAACGCGCCAGTTCACGATTCCATGCGAAAAAGCTTCTGATTCTTCTTATTAAACAACTTTACAGTCTACACCAAATACCGTACGTTTACACGGACACTACCACGCTGGTCGTTACATTGTTTTATACAGTACTGGCCATTTTATCGATGCTGTCTGCCAAACATGCTTGGTTCTACATCGATGCATTGCCCGAGAGCTCTAATACCCCACTGGGTAGTGGGTTGCTTTTTTGGTCCCATTAGTCATTACGAGCAGACGGTCGGATTACGCCGGAGATTTTAGATGTGACACGTCTGTGGATATGCGATAATTATGGATATTAAATATAGGATATATGTTATATTATGCGTGCAAATTCTATTTCCCATGTTGAGAAGTTGAGTAAGATAATGCATTGCGCATTTAAATATAGCTTCCATTTAAGGATCTACGTACGGACAGCGAAATTCGTATTTATTCTTGTCATCGGTGAGGTGATACGGAATTTCTTTTTGCCATGCTACCTAGAAGATTGAGGTCATAGGGTAATAGGTACTCAATGGGCTCCTGGACATGAGTTCTACTTCGGTTACTTGTGCTTTATTGACGATCTATTCATTCTCACAAGGTTTTCCAGCAGAAAGCAACAGAAAAAACTCAAAAGCTGAATAATGCCAGCTTCGTGGCACAATCGGAAGTGAACCTGAACATGACTCAGGTGATGTTTAAGAAATCGGTTCTTCATGGTCTGCTGAGGTCAATGGAGTTATGTATGAAAACGTGCAAGAAAAGTAAAAGTGGCATGGAATGCCATAGGAAGAGGGAAAAGTTTCCATCTGCGGAATTGCTCTTCGCGCGTGATACGGAAGGTGTTCGAGCGGTGCCAGTTTTCAATGTTAATCTACAGATGCAAAACATGGACGTTAAGCATGATAGACGTACACTGCGCAAAAATAAATAGGAAGACGAATAAATGAGCAAAACGAAGAATAGCGCAAAAGGAGTCTGCATTATCCTCGCAAGAGCAGAGAAGTTGAAATGAAAATAGGCGGGACAGTTTGCAGAAAAAACTGACCATCTGCGGACCAATGGGTATTTGGCCGAGTTCCAAGCGACGGTAGAACGCACGTCGAAAAACCTTCAGTCAGTTGCCAGATGAGTTCAAAAGAAATGTACTGCAATCACGAGGATAGGAATAGCAAATGATGAAGTTTTGTAAGTAACATTTGTACTTGGAAAGATCCTCATCCAGCAGTGGATCGAAATGCTGACGATGATGCAGTCTAGTACGTTTTTGTTTACAATGAGCAGCCAGCATCTTCGGCTTTGAAAAGCATCTCAGCTTCTCTGTCAACAGTTACTCATATCGATAGCGAGGCTTCGCCCGTTACTGGACAATACTCGCTAATCTGCCTCCGCCTGAGTCCTTTGCATCAAAATATATCTTTGCTTCCTAATTCAATTTTCCATTCTCTACATTTCGTCAAAATTATGCCAAAAGTTGCTCATTCATAACTAATCTGTCTGACGGTATCCACTGCCGTTCCATCGGTCGCCGAAGCCGGCAACGGTAATGCGATAGTAGTGCCGCATACCATGGTGGTCAGTGATGCCTTGGTGAAGACATGTGAACATCGGAGGGTCACCTCCAACTGTCGTCGTTGTTCTTTCGACGTGGGCTGATCCATTCAACACTATGCGCATCCCGTAAGGTTGCTCTCTGGTCTTGAACGCTATAGCCAGCAACCTATCATCAGGAAATGCACCAAATCAGGCAGTCTTTTTAAGGGCTGTCTATGCTTAAGACTGTGCACTGGCGATGCCTGAACATTTGCAGAAAGTCTTTATTTACAGCGTAGTCGAACTTTCGGATGCCACACAAAGAAGGTCAGTTAAACAGCTTAAGACGAAGAGTGGTCCGATGCGGATGATGGGTTTCTGAAGCTGTTTTAAGGAACTAGGAAATAAAATCCCCAAGTACGGATGGTTCTGGCTCGGCCGGGAGCGCAACCAATGCAAGCCGTTCACCAGCTGGAGTAACTGGCTGGTTTCTGCTCAACCTCACCTCTTTGATCTCCACCTCTAAGGTGGACCGGTGTGTGAGGACGGAACACGGTTGTTCATTCTTGTCCATGAGAACCGACGTCAACGTTGCTGCACGCATTTCAACCGTCGGCCATAGTTCTTGGGTATAGCCACTACCTTCATGACGTACCAGTAAGTCGACCTGAGTGATATAGTTCTGAGGTTGGCGTATAGGAATCGGCAACTGACATAAATGGGGTGATGATGGTTTGCAATAATTCGGTCTGTCACGAAGTGCAGCTGACGAATATGGCTGGCAGGAAAACCTACTCCTCCAATCCATGAATAGACTCTTAAAGGAAAATTTACATTTACCTCGACCACCCTCGCATTTCACATTCAGAGAAAAGTATTCACATGCCTACAATGTTGTTATGATGCAAAAGCAAGTTGGTGGAGTCGAGAGATGTCAGTAAGCGAAAGATGGCGACAAGTTTGTACGAGGAGGTGATCTGTCCTGAACTCTATTCGCTTCGTCGAATGTGCGTGCTCCGTACGTTGAGTGACTCTGAAAGGCGCACCACCACCATTCTTACAGCATTGTGTAAAAACAACCTTTGGTTCTCGCGAAGCCAAGGCGAGAAAAAATACACAGTCCGGCGATTGTGGTTGCCGGCGCAATTTGTTACTTCATATGGTGAAAGCGATAGCGAATGTCGGTCGGCAGTTTTAATGGTTAGTGATTAATTATGAAAAAGCGGCACATTTTCAAAACGTAAGGTGACGTGTTCGACTTCCATGACAACGATCTTGGAAGTTAACTATCTTCTACCTCCTCAGGATGACTGTAATGTGTCGATTCACCCACCCGTTGTATCCATCCATTCGTTTTCTGAATCTACATTTCTGTTCAGGATATGGAGGTCATTTGACATCATGCTTATGCATTGAACGACGTCCAGTGATAGGTTGGGAAAGTGAACGAGTGAAGTGCGGGATTATCGTGTGAGGCAGAGTTTAGACGGAGTAAACAACTTCGAAATACATACATTTGTACAGATATTTCAATCTGACGTTTGGCTTCCGTACTGGGGAAGGCAGGGTGTTATTCGTGTTTCTCTGCTAGAGATTCGGGGGTCTTCTCCGAATCTTTGACCTTCTGTTTCGCGGTTGGACTTCGGCAAAATATAGCGCATCTCTAGGCGTTCAGCGAACGTAACTTTTCGGGCGGAAGATCCCCAACGGAATGCCCATTGAGTTCCCTCTTTGGTTTCAAGCAGTTTCCAGCAAACGCGTTCGACGAAACGGGCAGAGCTTGAAGCGGGCCGATGGACAACAGTCATAGGAGAAGTCAAGACAGTTTCATTGCCGGAATGTCCAGAGTTAATTGCAGAAATAAAGCCGCCGAATGGCTGCAAGTCGTGAGCGCAAACGCAGTAAAAATGGAAACGAATATCCAACACTGAACGCAGTAAATGCCTGGTCTCTGAGGTAGCCCTGAGTCTCCGTTCAGTCAGATAAAGACGTAACGACTTCGTTCGAACTACCGCTCGTTGTTCTTAGAAAGTACTTGTGCGACAGGGC